AAAGTGTTATTGTGGGGATTAGAGATAATAATATATAAGATGCCTAACACAAAAGAGGTCTCAATTCATGATAGATATTATCATTAATCTTATTATTATTATGCTGTGACAGGTGTTACGAGGGCCCTGGGGATAAAGGGATGAAAAAGATACAGTTGTACAGCCTCCTGCAGCAGACAGACAGACGGAAACAACCACCTACAATGTAAGACAGAAGGAGGTACATGCTCCAGGAATGGAACCAGAGGAGTGACAAGTTCTGCTGCAGGCTCACGGAAGGGGACAGAGGAACGCAGTTTAAAGGACAAAAGGGGAGTAGGGTACCAATAAGGAGAGGAAGAGATTGATGCAGACCAGGCAGGGACACCAGAACCTAACGAAAAGAGGGACGAAAACCCATGGAACTTGGAATCCCAGGACAACTAAGGGGGTGGAAGAAGGGTGGTGGGCTCACTGACTCTCACCTTGGGCAAATATGGGCTGCAGTTGGGGAGCACTGACCACTTTTCAGAAGGGATCCCCCTGGCCAGATTCCTTCTGATCCCCCCTTCTCCCCTCCCCAACACACAGTACCCCCAGTGCACTCCCAGGCCAGTCAGGCATGATGACAACTCAGCACTGAGGAGCCCCATCCGCATAGACAAGGGAGCTGATCCAGGCCTGCTGTCCACAGCACCAGCAGATACATCTGGCCCACATCTGAGTAGTGTCCAAAACTCCCCACTGGGGCCAAGACAGCCAGTCAGGATGCTGGTGAAGAGCATGCTGGGAAACTCCCACAAGGAGCCTGCATCGATATAATCAGGTCTGGTGGAAATTAAAAGCTATTAGGAACAGGGCCGGATTTATCTTTATATCCAATAACATGCATTGTAATGGTGATCATGCAGATGGGAAATGAAACCACATCTCGGCTTCACTGGAGGCCTTCATTTTAATTTACGTTCGCGCACAGCCCTTTGCCCGCCCGCTCAGGAGAGCCAATTCGTCTCAAGACCAAGTCCCCCAGGAGAGAAGTAAGGGGTAGGAGCATGCCAGATCATAGGCGAGAGGCTCTGTGATTTTACATGCACATCTTTAAGCAGCCTGATGGAAGGAAGATGGCCAGCTTAGGGGAGGGGAAGGCGGGAGAGGGGGGCAGAGGTAGAAGGCAGCTCTGGGCAAAGTTCCTTTCGGGCCGTCTCTCTAGACTCTACCTACCCCGGCTGGGAAAAGCACAGCCAAAAAGCTGCTTAGAGTTTCACCGGCCAGCTCCACGAGGCTTACCTGCCCCTCCCAACCGTGGACAGCTGGCGAGGCTAACCTGTGCGCAAATACCCAACTCACAGAGCTTGCTTAGGCCCCAAGCCTTTAATTCCTCCCAAAGCCCCTCTGAGAGAGGCATGGAAGGGCAGGCTCCTAGTTCACAGGGGCCTGCACTCACCCCACTGGGCCCCCTCCTCCCAGGGCACCTGCTCTCCCCAAGGAGATGTCTCCTGGGGCCCAGACTGGCCCACGTCAGCCTCCCCGTCCCTCTTCCTGCTCTCCAGCACCTGCTCCTGCTGGCCTTGTGGTTTATGGAGGATCTGAGCCCAGCTTTGCAGATCCAGAGATCAAAATCAACCCCGTTCTCCCTGCTCCAGAAGGTGACCCTGAAGTGTCAAGGGGACATAACTCGGGCTCCTTGGTCCTTCCTTAACCTCGAGGCAACCTAATTATTAAATCTCCTCAACTGTGAGAAGCTGCTGTCCAACTGCCCAGCCAACAAACACAAACACACACACACACACACACACACACACACACACACTGGGTACTCTGCAAGTATGGATGGCAGAGAATCTTATTTGTATGAAAAAAATCAGTAAACAATTTGCATTTTCCAAAATTAAGGTATGCAGCATGTGGACCCAAGTTCAGGCCTCTCATCTACAGAGCCTGGAGGAAGCAAAACCCTGCTCTCCCTGGTTCTCTTGGATTCCTCTGGGAGCATGTTAGCTGGATTCACGTGCTTTGGGAAGCCTGTCCCTGGATCTAAAACATAGCTGTAGAAAGATCTAGAATGATTATGGATGGGGCTGGAGGGCCGGGCAGGGGAGGAAAATTCTCGAGGAAAGAAAGGGGGTTCTATAGAACCAAAGTTTAACAGAACCCTGAAGATTAGCATCAAGCCCACTTCCCTGATAATTATGCCCTTTGGGGCCACCAGCCCAGTCTTGATATCAAAGACAGCCCTGAAGCACCAACTACAAGGGCCGCCCAGGGAAGCTCACTGCCTCCAGCTCCGACACACAGGAGCCAGGTTAACCTTCCTTCTCTCCTGCCTGAGCTGGCTTCTTGCTACTCCACGCCCATGGTGCTCGTCCTTATTCAATGCCTCTGTCCATGCTGCTCCCATATTCCTTCAGAACTCTCCCAACCATCCATTCACGCACCCACTGGACATTTAGTGAGCATGTATCCTGAGTGTGAAGAGCCAGGGATGTGTGGATGAAAACAACCCAGTTCCTAACCTTGGGACACTCAGTCTAATGGGGGACACAGACCCTGTTACATGGTAGCAATACACACCCAGCAATAGGAAACAGCAGTACAAAGAGGAGAATGAACGCTCTTTTCCACCAAATAGTAATCCTCATCGCTACAGACCATCCTCCGTGTGTCAGGCGGTGTTCAAAACATTCTACATATTAACTCATTTCATTCCTACTTGAACCCTATAAAGTAATCAATCATGATCCCCATTTTATTACACTTGGGGAAACTGAGGCACTTCAGGGAAAAATGACTTGCTCAGCTTGTAAGCAATGGGGTGAGTTTCAAACCCAGGCAGTCTGGTCCTAGATTTTAGGCTCTTAATCACTGCCCTCCTCTGGGGCCACAAAGCCTTCCCTAAACCAGCACTGAGTCTCTCCGCTCCTGAGGCCCACAGCACACAAGCCTCCATTGTACCCAAAGCAACGCTTTACTGGATACACTTGTACTGGTGCCTGGACGCAGTTCTGTGTGGGGGTAAGTGCACAGACCTGGGTTCAAGCCCTCACCTCTGCTTAATAGATGTGTGACCCGGAAGAAGTTACTTCACTTCTTTGAGCCTCAGTTTCCTCTTCTGTAAAGTGAAGGGGGAAAATACACTTAAGGACGTTTTGTGAAGATATAATGAGGTCATATTTGAAAGCTTCTTAGCCCAGTGCCTGGCATATAGTAAGCACTCAAAATTTTTTAATATTATTTTATTATTATTATTACTTTAATAGATATAACTCATAGTCCATAAACTCAAGTGTATAAGAAATATCATATTTCTTTATGTTCTTTAAATCACCTGCAATCTGACTCTGCTGGATAGACAAGAAATTCAATCTCCATCACTACTGGAGCTTCCCAATAACAACCTTGGTTGTTGCCAAGGGTCTCTGGTCCTCACCAGCCTGTCGGCCCTGCCTGCATGATCCCTTTGGGTCTTGGCTGAGCACGTCGTGTCTCATATAGACACAAGAACACTAGCCTCAGTCGCAGACCCTGTGGAGCCACACACAGCCACTCCTGTGGGGTCCAACCGCCTCCTTCAGCTGTACCCATGGAGCCTACAGCACAATCCCCGTCTCTGACATCCTTTTGTCTCCTGTTCCCCGCCCTCAGAGACCCTCCTCCTCAGCCAGAACACCCATCCTCATCTTCCCTGTTCGCTTATGGTTTCCCCAAGGGCAAGAAGAGCGGCTGTCTTCAGGCAGCCTCAGATTCCTGTCCCATCACAAGCTCTGAGGACATTATACCTTCTGGCCAGCTGCCCGGAACTGAGAGAAGGAAAAAGTACCAAGAGCAAAACACAAATTAATGCCTCAAAAAAAGTATCCTGCCACATTAGCTGTCAATGTGCCCAAACATCGGTCCTTCTCCCGGCTCTACACTGGACCCACCTAAGGAGTCTCCAAAGGGCTGATGCAGGTTCTACTCTGAGATACTGACTGGGGGTTGGGCCCAAGCACTGGTGTTTTCCAAAGATCTCCCAGGGATTCAAACATGTAGCAGGATTAAGAACCCCTGCTTTACAGGTTTCATGCATAGAAGTCTTGTCTTCCCCAACTAACCCGAAAACTTGGAGCAATTAGAATCATTTCATATGACCAGCGATGGGACGTCAATGCTGCAGCGGCACTCAGAGAGCATCTGGTCAAGTTCCATTTTACAGAAAGGAAAACAAGGTCCTTGGTCAAGAGAAGAAGAAACAGCATCAGAGCCTCTACAATGTGCCGGGATGAAGGGAGAGAGGCTGGAGTGGTGGGAAAACCCCAGCATTTTGTAACCAAAGCCTAGAGGTATTTTGAGGACTTGAAGTCCTCTCTTGGGGTTCCCAGACCTGTTTTCCTGTTGAAAAGACAACCCTGCATAGGGAAAAGAACCAATAATGAAGGGCTCACAAACACGGCAGCTCTAACAAGGTGAACCTACAATGCGGTATTAACCTTTTCTCCCAATACCAGGCAAGAAGAGGGCCCATTGGAATTGTGATGGGCTCTTTGGCCAACTCATGAAAAAAACGTCCCATGCGCATGCTGACTCAAGTCTGGTCCTCCGAGAATCCAGCACTCATGTCCTAGTCATTCAAGGCAGGAAAAGACACCACAAACCAGTTTCTTTTCCCTCCTCCCCTGACTTTTCACAGTTAAGATGCTTCTAGCTTTGTCTCCCATCACTAAGGGCAAGGGCCAGCAAAGACCCAGTGGTCAGGAAGGATGGCGACCCCACTCCTTTGCAGAAACAGGACCCACTCTGTGTCTGATGGGACCTTCACACACTCAGCAGAGGCCCCTGGCACGCGGGTTTTCACCACCCCACACAGAGCTGCACCAAGCCGAGACCAAAGACACTTTCGCCAGAGCATCACCGAAACAATAACAAATCGCTCACCAGAACCAACCTCAAGATCTCAGTTAGCTCAGCAACCAACTCAGCACCTCTGCTTCAGTCTCCCCAACCCCAGCACCGCTGTCCGCCGAGGCCCCACAGCACTTCCTTACCTGGGATGATGGAAACCGTGTCCTTCTCCCAGGACACAACGCTAACATATTCCTGCACTGAAGAGGGGATGAGGCACTTGAAGACGGCCACGTTTCCACGCATTGACCTTTGATCCTCCACCCGGACGGTGTAGGGTTCCCTGAAAACTGCAGAGAGAAGTGGGGGGGGTGGGGAGAGACAGGTGTCACAAGGCTCGGATGGGACATGGTGGGGGGGCCCCAAGAAAGCAAGCTCAACTCCCTCAGTACCCCAGGCCTCAGCCTCCATCACCTCTTCCCCTACCTCCCACTTACCCAGACCAGAAGTTCCTGCCGTGATCTGATTTCTGCCTGCACAGCTCCTTCTCCATCAACCTGCCCCTACTCCCCTGGGCAGCCTACTCTCCCTCAGAAATACCCTGCCTCACTCTGCAAGAGCATAAATCCAACGTCCAACCTTTCCAATTTCGGCGAATATTAACAAACTGCATAAGACATTAGGACCTTGAGGGTAGCACTCAAGCCCTGCAAGGTGATCATACACAAGAAGGGGATGTGGGTAATACAGAAGTATACTAGAATGCCTCCAAGGAAACATATCTGATTCCCTACATTATCCCTGGGCCCAGGGTAGCAACAGTTTGCGGCACAGTGACCATAAATTGCCAAAATAAAAACCAGGACACATGATCTAACCACAGATTTTTGTGCCACTTCAATGTGAAAAGCGGTTTGGGAAACGGGAGTTTACATCCTGAACTTTCTGGAGGGCTGGGTGGTCTATAAGCAAAATGGGAGAGAATTTTTGAAACTGTGACCATCTCTGAAAATGCAGAACCCCAGAGACACGGCCAGCCTCCAAGATTCTCCATAACGAAGCTTCCTTGCTGCTCTCTCCCACCTCCTGCTGCTGCCCCCAGCCAGACCCCCAGCCTTGCCTGGCTGCCCTCACAGTGTGCACAGAGGCTTCCTGTCTTGGTCCCAGGGCTGGTTTTCGGGGAGCTGTCACCTGCAGCCACCAAACTCGTTGGGTCCCAGGGATGGGCTGGCCCAGCCCTCTGCCTCTGCCTCCCCCTCGTCCTCTTCCACGTGGCCTCTTCCAACTCACTCCATCCTCTGCCCCTTCTCTGCCAAGCAGAGCTGAAGCATCCAGAGCCCCACCGCCTCCCGACCTTGTCCCTCAGCAGGCACCTGGGCAGCGTGCCCTCCTGCTCTCCCTGCCATGGTTGCCCAGGCGACGCTCAGGGCCTAGCAGCCCCTCCGGCTGTGCACCTGCAGCCCCTCTGGCTTCATCAAGAGCCTCTTAATTGGCTGTGTTTCCAGGCGGGCCAGCCCTCCCCAGGCCTCCCCATGCCTTTATTCTTTCCCCTTCTCCGTGTTGTGGCCGTGATGGGGAAGAGAGACAGCTGAGGTGGAGGAGAGAGAGGAGACAGCTCTGCCTGCTCTGTGAGGCCATGGTCCACCCTGTTGTGGGTCTGGGCATGGCACTGCCTGCAGATGAAGGGGGGAACAGAAAGGAGACTAAGGGGAGCCGACGCTGGAGGGAGCAGAGTGGAGGAGTGGAAAGGGCTGGGTTTGGGTGCACACCATCCAGATGAGTCCCAGGGACCAGCAGGTACTAATGGTTAAGAGCGTCCAACGAGCAGGCCCTGCATCCTCCTCTGAGCAGCTGCGTGACCTAGACAAGACCTAGTTAACCTTTCAGTGCCTCAGTTTCCTCATTTGTGAAAGGAAATAGTAATAATAATAGCAGCATGTAGAAGGCCTGGTACATGGAAAGCACTGCAACAATGTCACTTGTCATTATAGCTACACCTGTGTGACTAACTGCCTACGTGCCCTTGGGCAACGACATCACCTCTCTTTGTCTCAGTCCCCCCATTTGTAAGTAAGAAACACTTTACAGGATTATTGTGAAGATCACATCCTAACCCAATAACGGGCATGTAACAGGAAATATGAGGTCACCTCCTTTTAGCCCAATCCTCCAGGCTGTACAGGCCAGAACTGGGTTCCAAATCTTGGCCTCAGGGCTCCCAGCCCAGCACCTGGTGTTGTGTTAGGGGAACAGAGCAAAGGACCTACTCCTGAAAAGAGGCTCCACGGGGAGCCCCAGGGGGCATACACTGAGCACGGCCCTAGGTTCGAAGAGCTTGCACTCTCTCCCCAGACAAACCAATGAGATGAAGACCAGTTCTTTAACTAAGAGCTCTCATCCCACCTCACCCCTACAAACACCTGTTCCCAGCTGCTTGGAACCTTGTCCTTGCAAGAGACACTGCCAAGGCAGAAGGACACAGGCAGTCAGAGGTCTTGCAGGACCTGTCACTAGGCACGTAGGTTGGGAGACCCTCCCCAGAATCCACTCTCCTCTGCCCAACACATGGCCAGGAACGATGGCACGCCCCAGGCCTGGTGCTGCTGCAGTGGCCGGCTAGGACACCGGCTGTCCTCTGCCACCCCAAAACCTCCTCCAAGAAAGTCACTCCCCAAACCTCAGTGCTTTATTACTATTTGAGGCACATCTTACAACTCATTAGGACACACCAGCATATCAGGACAGCCTCGTTAAGTGTAGCTGGTCTAACTCAGTCCCTCATCTCCAGCCCTCACCCAGAGAAATGAGACCATCCCAGAAACCCTCACTTCCTTGCCTCCATCAACTCTTCCAGAGACCAAAATCCTTCACTGCTAAAATTATCCCATCGTGAATTTTACCTAAATGCCTATTCTCAGGAGCTATGTTAGACTCAACTGTCCGTCAACAGTGGAATGGATGAATAAAGTGTGGGATAGTCACACAATAGAAGACCACACGGCAATGAGAATGAACCACCCACAGCTGCACACAGCAGCAGGGGTAAAGCCCACCGACATAACAGTGAGCAAAAGACTCAAGAGAACAACTACCGTAGGGCTCTGCTTACGTAAAGTACAAAAACAGGCAAACGCCTATATTGCTAGAAGTCAGGACTATGGTCTCCCCTAGGAGCAGTGACCCAAAGAAGCATAAAGGAGGCTTCTGACGTGCTGATATCATATATCTTGATCTGGATATTAGCTAAACTTTGTGAAAATTCATCAGGCTATATACTTATATACACTTCTCTTTATATATTCTATTTCAATAAAAGGTTTTTTTTTTTTTTGAGAAAAAAAAGAAATTCATTGGCTGTTTTCCATGAGTCAGGCACTGAAGTGAGCGCTTAAATAATTTAAATGAGTGCTATCTCATTTAACCCTGACGTGTGGTGATGAATGGGGTAGGTGTTGGCATCAGCTTTGTGAATGAGGAAACCGAGGCTCAGAAAGGTGTGTTCTCCGCTTAAGGACACACAGTAACAACAAAACTTAGCTTGAGGGACTGACTTCTTCCAAGCCCCACCCACAGCCCACCCCACCCCACGACCTGCCGCCCAATCCCTAGCATGTTACGCACAGATCCTCAGAATGATGGGCGATGGGCGCTACCCACTCCCCATTCCCCACCCCCACTCGTCCCCCCGCCGCTTCAGACTGAGCTCCCAGGTAGGGGAAAGCCGCCTGGTCCCTCACCTGCTTTGACGCGGATGTTAGGGCTCCGGATCTTGCCGGCCGCATTCTCCGCGGTGCAGAAGTAGTCATTGTCGTGGATAAAGCTATTGAAGGCGGAGGGGGAGAAGGGATAGAGCTGCAGTGTCCCGTTGGCGTGGACGTGCCGGATGTGCGGCACGTCGTAGATGTCGTCCCCCGTGGCCAGGTACCATCGAAGGGCCGCGCTGGGGGAGCCCGCGGCCGGGCAGGGCACCACCACCCCCACGGAGCTGGAAAAGGTCACCTGTTGCAAGGAGTCATTTACAAAGTAGAGGCTGGTGCCGACATCTTCAGGGCGGGCTGCGGGGAGGCAGGGGAGAGGCTGGGTTAGCGCCCTAGGAAGACCCTCATCAAAGCACTTATTGAGCGCTCACTATACCCCAGGCACCGGAAAAGGTGAATAAGAGATAGTTCCTGTCCTATGGAAGCTTCCAACCTAGCACAAGAATAGCAACAATTACAACATCTCATTCTCCGTGCCAAGTTCATGGATGGAGGTGCCCACCACTCTGCTATGTTGCTGGGTCTGAAGCCAAGATCCACTCTTGGCATCCACACAGTAGGAGAGGCACTGAAATTGCTTAGATAATAAACATTTATTGAGCACCTACTGTATGCAGTCAGGTTCACAGCCATTACCTCAATTCATCTGTGCAACCCTGAGAGGAGATGGTATCACCTCTTTTCCTTTTTTTTTTAGGAAGATTAGCCCTGAGCTAACACCTGCTGCCAATCCTCCTCTGTTGCTGAGGAAGACTGGCCCCGAGCTAATATCCGTGCCCATCTTCCTCCACTTTATATGTGGGACGCCTACCACAGCATGGCTTGCCAAGCTGTGCCATGTCTGCACCTGGGATCGGAACCGGTGAACCCCAGGCCACTGAAGCGGAATGTGCGCACTTAACTGCTGCACCACTGGGCCGGACCCAATACCACCTCTTTTTTATCATTCCCTTTTATAGGCTGAGAAGAGTTATCTGATTTGCCTGAGATGACACAGCTGCTAAGCTACAGACTAAAATTTGAACCCATTGCTCCTAAAGAGGATCTTGGTGCACTTTCTCTCATCCTATAGCTGAAAGGGAAAAGTCTCAAGATTATGTTCTCAGAGGGAATGGCTGCAGGAACTGGGGATGCTCGCCTGGAAGAGAGAAGATGGCAGGAGACCTTGAGAGCTGCCTGCTGCCTCTGGAGTTGATTTGGAAAACGCATTGCCCCAGAGGGCTGAATGAGGACCAGCGGTACTGTGGGTGGACCAGATCTGAGCTCGGGGAGCAAGAGAGCCACCCAGGTTCTACACCCAACACTGACTGACTGTGGGATTCCCTTCCCCTCTCTGATCATCTGCTCCTTCACTTATAAAATGGAGGGCGGATGGACAAGGCTGCAAAGACGCCTGGCATCTCTGACATGTTGCCATTTTGACACTCAGTCACGCAGGAGAGCATGTTCATGATCACAGCTACCTGATGACCGCGGGGCCGCCTGACCAGAGAACAGCATCTCCAACTCTTATCCCAGCGTAGCGCTTCAGTCCTTCCTGCCCTTCGGGGAAGCCACCCTGAATGGTGGAATTAGGGCCGGCCTTCCCTCCCTCCCCCCGTCCCCTTAAGAAGGGCCACCTCTGAGCAAGTGGAGGCAAACCCCGAGGAAGAGAGGGCCTGGTCCCAGGGGTCCAGCTGGAAGCCACTCCCTCTCCACCAGGAAGATCAGGGAGCAGACAAACCACTCTGCTGCCTGTTTAAAGAACGTTGCAGGGGACCCAACTTGACCTCAATTTCCACAACTTTATAGGAAGGGGGAGGGCCCGGATCCTGCCCGTATTAATATTCTTGGTTTAACTCTGAGCTGAGCCTCCAGGGAGAATAGACGGGGCAGCTCATTGAGGAAGGCCATTAAGCCTCATTGGTCAAAGCAATTCACATCATCTCATAAAAAGCCGTGATGAAGCCATTAGCAGCAGTGCTGGAAAACACATTCGTGGGCTCCTTGCTGTGGTGTCAGGGCGTCCTCTTAGCAGCAAATGCATTTGCTGTCCCCACCAGGGACTGCACCCTTAGCGGCTGAAAGGCTCTTGGAGAGGGAGAGAAGCACCACCTTCCATCCTCCTCCTCACACTGTCTCCCCTTGTGACAGTCCCAGTGTTGGTGGTTGAGAAAAGCCACTCTGTGGAAAGGAAAATTGCCCAATGGGGAATGCTCAGAAGCTCCCAAAGCATGGCCCGCTTGCAGTGGCTAGAATATTCTCCAAGATTCTGAAATCATACCATTTCATAGGAAAGCAAGCTGAGGTTTAGGAAGGCTTCTCTTAGGACTCACACTTACCAGGTCCCCTTCCTGAGCCTGCTCACCTTTTGAAAGACTTCCTTACCAAGAGTCATCAACAAATATTGGTTAAGCATCTTCTATACGCCACGCACTGTTGTGAGCACTTTACTTACATGACCTTTTAATCCTCCCAACAACCCCATGAGGTTGGCACTATTATTATCACAGTTTACAGATGAACAAACTAAGGCACCGAGAAAGCAAAGCAACTTACTCAAGACCACACAACCAGTGAGTGAGGCTCTGGGATGCAGATGCAGGCAGTCCGAGCCCAGAGTTGGTTTCTTAACCATTAGATGATTGTAACCAATGCAATAACAAGCAGGGGCTTTCACCTGCCTCAAAGACAACTCGGCCACCAACTTGCATGTTCAGTGAGCCACGGACAGGATCAAGACACATGCACCCCTGCTCGTGCACACGTGTAGGCGTACAACACACACACACACACACTCCTCCTGGGAGGGGCCCCTGTTGGACTCAACACTTCAGACAAAAAAGCTCAGCCTGTGGGAGTAGGGGCATCACTCTGGGGCTCTGGGTGCTTCCTGAGACAGCCTGCTTAATCAGACACCCTTGCGGTGGCAGCTTTATGGATTTGGGGAGCCAAAATCCATCAAGGAGCAGAAAGACTCTACCCTGTGCCTGACAAATGGACTTAGGAAGCTGAGAAAGATCCCTGACAGAGAGGAATTCAGGAAGTGTCGGCTTCAAGGGACAGAGGAAGAAAACATTTAAGGATTGGTATGATGTAGCCCTCAGTAATGATAATACCACCAGCGATAATGACAGCCACCATGGATTTCACTGTTAACTACAGGCCAGGCTCGCGCTAAACCCATTATAGATATTATCTCACTTAATCTTCAGGACTCCCTAGGGGATGTTATTGCTATTATTCCCATCTTACAGATAAGGAAATTAAGACTCTGAGAAGTTAACTAGCGTGCGCACAGTAACAGAGTGTCAGTGCCGGAGCTGAGATAGAACCCAACTTTGCCTTGCTTCGGAGCCCGAGGATGGAACTGCTCCGTCATAGGAACCATGCTGAAGACAAATCAAACCTCAAAATCTGGGTTTCCAGGCTGGGTACCCCTCCCCATCCTTTTTTCCACCCCAACCCCACTCCAAACACACATTCCTAGTCTCCTTCTCTCCTGGCTGGAAGTCCGTTACACCCTCCCTGCCTCCCGAGACAGCCCCTTCCCCAGGCCCCGGCCGGGAGCATCAGCCACAATGACAACCGTCTTCCTGCGCTCTGGGCCTCCGATCCCGCCAGAGCCAAGGACAAGAGGCTCTCAGCAACTAGAAATGGGTAGACTTAATTGATGAATTGATTGGGATTGTCCAGCCACCTGTCAGCGCTGATGAAAGAGCAGATTTATAGCAAAAGGTGAGTAGCCTCATATTTCTCCCACCCCGGGACGCGAGCTGCTGTCTTCTGAGTCTGGGGGAGCTGGGGAGGAGTAGACAAACCATTCATTTCTGCTTACAGCTCTGACAGGGCATTGCCATTATGAAACATCACCCTCAGGTGTAAAACAATAGCATTTTGCACTTATGTTGGACTCATATTTTACCATCGCAAGGCACTGTCAGCCCAGAATGCAGAAGCCCTTAAATAAACATTAATTTAGCCTCACCCCACCTGCCAAAAGAAAGGAGCGAGCAAATCCATAAAGGGGAAACTGAGGCACTGACCACCAAGTATCTCAAATCTCTGCCACGTGCCAAGAGGAAGGCTGGCACGAACAGCAGTGGGTGTTGCAGCAGCACGGGGTACGTCCAGTCACCTCGCCATAGAAGGGCAAGCAGCGAGGACCTGAGGGCCTCACTCCCACCTCATGGATCTGGCACAGCCTCTGTGGTGGGGGCCTTCCCTCCATGTGAGGCTCCTGTTTGAATCTTTGGAACAGTGACAGAGCCTCAGCAAGCTCTGAGAGGAGCACAGAAGCACGGTACAACAGACAGGGCCCTGGAACAGTCTGACAGAGCTACCTTCCCTCCTGGGGCTCACCCCTGATCTGCTGTGTGACCTCAGACAAGCCGCTTAGCCTTTCTGAGCCTCACGGTCTTCACTCACAAAATGGGGAGGATTGTACCATCTTATCTGCCCCCCATGGTTGCCAAGCAGGTAAAACGGAATGCAAAAGTACTTGGTTCCCCATAAGGAGGATGTGTGAATGTGGGGATAAGATGGTTATTCCCGTCCCAGCACGTGCCTGAGGTTACCACAAAGGATGACAAGGGCACACTCCACACTGCAGAATTCAAACCCCCTCCAACCCTACATCCTCTCAGCAGACTCCTGCACCCCTCAACACTCCGCTCTCCCAGGTCCTTTCTGACTCAGAGACCTTTATTTTTTTTGAGGAAGATTAGCCCTGAGCTAACATCTGCTGCCAATCCTCCTCTTTTTGCTGAGGAAGACTAGTCCTGAGCTAACATCCGTGCCCATCTTCCTCCACTTTATATGTAGGATGCCTACCACAGCACAGCTTGCCTACCACGGCATGGCTTACCAAGTGGTGCCATGACCGCACCTGGGGTCCGAACCGGCTAACCCGGGCCACGGAAGCAGAACATGTGAACTTAACGGCTGCGCCATGGGGCCAGCCCCTGACTCAGAGACTTTTATTCATTCAGGGGATAAATACGGAGCACCAGCCACATGCACCGCCCCTGGACCCCAGGTGTTGTGGAAGGCATCAAAGACAAGGGAGGAGGGCCCACCCTCTAGGAGCTTGTCAAGGAGACAGAGCCCAGGAAAAGATTAACCCACAGCCCAGGGCAGAGTGTGAGGAAGGGCTGAAAGTCCTCATCAAGCCGAGAGCCACCAGGAGGGCGGAGGCAAGTTACTCAGCAGCCGGAGACAAAGCTTTGGGACTGGGGGCCGAGCTGAGACTGGAGCGACCATCTGAATAGGTGGGGTGGGGTAGGGTGGGAAGGCACTCCCAGAGAGAGGCTGCCGGA